TGGTTGGCGCCGCGCGGCCGGGGATGCTCTGGCTGCATCAGACTGGACACCAGTTCCCACTGGAACCAGCGTTCAGCCAAGAAAGGGGCAGTTTATTTACCTGCCAGGCAGATGTCTGATGGTTTTGCTTTTGATGGTTTGGGTAGATTTGCCATTAGATGTATTTGCAGCGTAGAGCTGAGAGCGAGGCCCCGAAGCTTTGCTATTAAAGTTGTCGACAATAAATTGGAATTTCATAGCTCATTATTTTCATAACTAATAATTACAGTGGGTAAAATGTCACTGTAATTGCAGCTCTGTGAGTGCGTTATTTTTGTGCATGTGTGTGTGTAGAACAGGAATCCTTTCGACTTGGAATTGTTCGGTCAGAATTTTTCCAGTCCTCGGTGCAGAGTCAAAAACCGCCCGGCAGCGCAGAAGCAGCAGTGTCGGTGCAGGGGAAGCCCTGGCCCCTGGCAGGGGGTCCCGAAGGGGTGCCCACCCCTCAGCTGCCGTGCGGGAATGAAGCCGTGGATGGACACGGGATGCCCAGGCTGTGCTCCCGCAGGCCCTGCGGCCGGGCCCGTCGCTGGGTGAGGAGGAGGGAGGTGACAGCAGAGCCACCCCAGCCAGGGGACAGCTCTGACACTGCCCGGGGAGGGGGTCTGGGCCCGATCCTGCCCCCCCCGTGCAAGGACAGCCTTTCTGCAGGGGTGGGCCTTTCTCTGCACCCCTGGCAGCAAAGCCTTTGGAGCCAGGGGGGCAAGGTCCCACTAGGTGCACGGCCCAAGTTTTCCATCATTTTTTTCACATCCTGGGGGACCATGGGAGGAGCTGAATTCCGCCCCCCTACCCCGAAGCTTTCTGCCGGGGACACCAGGAGGTTGAATCCATGTCTGACACTTGACACTTTCCATTACCAATACCGCTTAAGCAGCTCATGGAGAGGGTAGGTCTGGGTCCACAGCTGCATCTGGAGTGTCTGAAAACATGCACAGACACCACAGTGTTGGTCTCTTTAAAGGAATTTTAGGCCCTGCACACAGAGCTCTCCCAGGAAAACAGAAAACCAGTAGCCTGGCAGAAATCTGATGAACGTGGCTGCGTGTTGCAGTGAGGCAGGCTTTGGCTGCACAGCCTGTTTGTGCTCTGCTCGCCATGGAAAGACTGGGGAATTAATTTTGCTTTTTTTTCATATAATGGGTATGTCAAGTAGCTGCAGAGAAAATATATTAATAAGCAGTCTTGTCTTCCTGCTTGGGAGTCTTTCCTGAGCTCCCTGCTAGGCGCACGGGCGCAGAGCAGTGGGTGGACATGTCTGAGAGCGTGTGGTTGGGTGGGCAGCTCTGCTCTGCTCCGGGGGGATGTGTTGGGTCAGGCTTTTCAGCTGGTCCTGGGAAAATTCACCAGATAGTGCCTGGGCAGGAGAGTGTCTGTGAGTTGTGCTCCCTGACGGAGGAGCACAATCTCATTCTGGGTCTCTCTGGGTCTCTTACCAAAATGGGTAAGATCCGGTTTCTGCTCTCAGAGGTTTGTTCAGGGCTTCCTGTGTTGCAGCTGGGAGAGTTCTGGGCCCGATGATGTCAAAAGCAGTTGCTCTTGTGTGATTTACAGCTGAAGAAACCTGGCAGGTTTCTCTTGGTTTGGGGATCCAGTCTTCCACCTCTCCCAGCCTGGCACTGGCAGAGCTGCTGGGGTGGGTCAAGATGCTGTCCCTGAGGAATGGCAGTGGGACTGGGCACAGAAACCAGCCCCCACGTCAGCTGAAACCCTCCACGAGGTGGGCAGCTCCCTTCTCCTTGAAATTCCAGGTTGAAAGTGCTAAAAACATCATGGTAAAAAGAACACATTATGAAAAATGTTAACTGTTAAAACCCTAAAATGCATTTTAAAACTGTAACATGAAAAAAGGATGTGCCAGCATATTTATTCTGGAGGTGCCAATAAAATACAATCTCCAGCCTTCGTTTCACCATGAAATTATAACAAGCCGTAGATATTAATGACAGAGAATTTTTGTAGAAGCAGTAATTTACTGCAAAAAATCCACTGCAAAAAGTGGTCTTCGGTGTGATTTGTTTCTATTATTGCCAGTGCCACTGATTAATAACACGCATTTTCAGTTAATTTTGGATCCTGGTGTGCCCTTTAATCTTGTATTGCTTCTTTTGTTTTGCTATTACAGAAAAATATATATTGTATCCTGAGACCCAATTCCAATTACTATAAGTTAATCTATTAGGTGATAAAGGACTACATAGGCAGAAAATGTGTATGTGAAAGTGAAGATGTATCTCAGGATTTGCTGGGGTTTGGTTACCTGGAAATTGTGTTCTCTATAAATCTCAAGGCATGTTCTCTGTCTGTTGGTGATAACCAGAGCTTTGTTTTGGATCTTGTCCCAGGTATTATGAAACCGGGAGTATTAAGCCTGGAGTGATCGGAGGGTCAAAACCAAAGGTTGCCACACCCAAAGTCGTGGAAAAAATCGCCGAGTACAAGCGCCAAAACCCCACCATGTTTGCCTGGGAGATCAGGGACCGGCTGCTGGCGGAGCGGGTGTGTGACAACGACACGGTGCCCAGTGTCAGCTCCATCAACAGGTGCGGGCGCGGGGCGGCGGGGCCGGGTTCCCCTGCAGCGGTGCAGCTGGGCTGTCGTTCCGTGGCGCACGTGGCGCTGGGCAGAGCTCGGGGCTCTCCCCGGCAGCCGGAGCACCGCGGGTTGTGGCTGTTTTTGGGGGTGGTGCTGCCTTTGCTTCTTCCCAGTCCCTTCCCCAGTCCGTCGGTTGCCGTCCTGGCTAACTGGGATCCTGCACGTGTGTTCCGAGTGAGGCCCCATGGGACCTGCTGTCCCTGGGGGGAAGCTCAGTGGCCACCCAAGGGGGCAGCAGTCCTCTGGGAATGGGAAAGCAGTCCAGCTGGGTGCCTGGAGGAAAGGGCCCAAACCCCTTCTTTCCTTCTGACTCCTGCCCTGTTGTGCTGAAGTTGGCCCAGCACCATGCTGGGGGAATCTGGTCGGTAGCTTCCCAGTGCCTCAGTTGTCTCCTTGTTGTGTGGACGCACCCGAGTGGCCTTGAGTTACTTTTGTGAAAACACAGCAGGATCTCAGTCCCCTGTTTGGGGGTTTTGCAGGCAGGATGGGGTCCTGAGCTACATCAGCCATGCCAGGGACACCTTCTCTTGCCCACTTCCCTCTGGGTCGAAGGGCCTGGTGTTGAAAAGCCCCACTGAACACTCTGTTGTGTCTCTAGTCCTGCCAGACAGATAATGAGAGATGAGTGCTTGGAAGGGAGGCCCCTTGGGCAGCCCCCGCCAAACACCCCCCCTGGCCAGCCGAGTCCTTCCGTCTTTGCTCTGGGGTGTGCTCAGGGCTGGGCTTCCGCCGCGCCACGCCGGCGAGATGGTTTTCACTTGTGCGATTGCATGCAAATTCTTTGAATGCAGCTAGCTATAAAGTCCCATCTGTGCCTGTGGACGTGAAATAAATTGATGCAATATTCTTTTATTGGCTATCCCAACCTGATTTGCATTCATGGAGTTGCCGCTTGAGTAGCCGGCGTGGCTTCCCCGGCGCTTGCAGAGCAGGGAGCAGGAACGGGCCAGGCTGGGACCTCCTGACTCACTGGGTACCTTGTGGACCTGGCATTGCCAGGTGTAGAAAGGGTCTGAGAAATAATATATGCCCCTGGAAAGCAGTAGGGAAATACCCCTTGGGCTGACCTCAAGTTACCCAGGGCCAGCTCTGCTGCCGCAGCTGTCAGCCTGAGCCTTGTGTCTGTCTGGGGGGGCTTCAAGCATCCTCCGAAAACCTGTAAAGAAGGTAGTTGTGGCTCTAGAAAAGAGAGATTAAGTAGCTTCCAGTCATATTTTGAGCCAGTTTCCATGCTGTGTCTCTTGCTGTTTCCATTTGTGTTTCCCCATGGATAATGCCCACGCTCCCATTGCATCAGAAACTTGTTTACTGACCTGCCACCAAGTTACTTGGCTGGAAATCTCATTCTCTCTTATCTGCTGCTGATGGTGGCAAAGATCTTTTCCTTTTCTCAAAGGTGTGAAATCCGTTTTTAAAAGTGCACTCGATCTTTTTGAGTCAGTCTGTTTACCCAGAGAGTTGTTTTTGCCAGCCTGAAGCCCAGGGTTTTGCACCTACCAAACCATCATGACAGGAAACCCAGAATTCACAGTAAAACTCTGGGCCCCAACGCTAAGCCCTCCCAGCTCCACGTTGCAGCCTGAGGGCTTTATCCCCACGTGTGAAGTGAGGGCTCTGCTGGTGGGGGTGCTGCCCACCAGGATGCAGACCCCAGCTCGGGGTGCCCCTGCTTATGGCTCATGGATGCTGCCTGCTGGCTGCAGACCTCAGCCCATCCGAGGTGGTGCAGTGTGGTCCTGTCCTGCTGCAGGGCAAAGTGGGGACCCTTGGCCAAGCCCGTGCCCCTGGGGACCCACGGCTGCCTGGGGATGGCACCGGGACGGGTGGCACTCAGCACACCCTCGGGTGCCTCCTAGCAAATGAGTTTGAGCTGCTGCCCCTGTGTATGAGTGAATAATAACTATTATTATTAATTAATAACATTAATTAATATTAATAATAGGCCACTCTTCCGCAGCAGGAGCAACTCTGTGTGATTAAGGCTTAATTAATCATCACGATTAGTTTTGCTCAAATAAGTGGAGAGCTGCCCAGCTGCTTTGAGGAGCTCCAGTCCTCTGTCCCTCTGGAGATGAAGATGTTTCCGTGTCAGAAGGCCCTGGACACCCTTCCTGGACCTGGTGGCAGGAGTCCTGGTGCAGGGGTTTTCTCCCCTCCTGCTCAGGCAGGGTCCCAGGCCTTTGGCTCTGCTCCCCCCAAAGCTGCTCCAGCAGCTCCCCCTGCACCCAGTGCTGCTGGGGACCCAACCCCTGGAGGTGTCCAGCACCCGGGAGCTTCGAGAGATGGAATCACAGAGCCAGCCCCTGCCACTAGGGAGGGGGAAGGCAGTGTGTCCCCTTCAGGGGACCGGCTCACTGGGTGGCTTCAAAGCCAGCATCCCATGAGGGCATCCCCATGGCAGCTCCATTTCATCCTGCCCTTCTGCCTCCCCTCTTCTGATGTCACAGGCAGAAGTGGGAAAAGGTTTGTCAGGAGAAGGGCTTGTGGCAGTGTCACTGCTGCATAACCAGCCTGTCCAGCAGGGAGATGTGTGGTGAGCTCCTTCCAGCAGAGCTCTGTGTTCTCCAGAGGCTTTTCAGACCCCGTCTTCCCTTTTCCCACAGTCATTGGCAGGGGGGCAGAGCATCTCCCCAGCCCCTGGCAGCTGCCCACCATCCTGCCTTCAAGTTCATCTGCATCTCTGAATTTTTCCTGATACTGACTTCATTATAAGTCAGAGCTGAGGCTGTCCCCAGCGATAACAATGTAGTTACTCAGCTTTTAAGATTAGCCTTTAATCCGGCACATTTTTGTTTTAATATTAATTTGGCTAAGCAGGTTCTTTCCAGAGGCATCCAAGTTGTTGAGTTGCGTGAGCACCGTGCCCAGGGTGGTTTAGGGACAACCTTGCAAATGTGTCCTGGCACCCAGGGGTGTTGATCAGAGCCTTCTGGGCCACGCGAAGCCTCCGGGTCCTGAGGAGGCGCCGCGGGACCCGGATCACCGGGGGTGGCTCTTCCCAAGCAGTGAGGACACGTTCCTCAAGGGACCCCAGGCACTGAACCCTGCAGCATCCCTGGGTTGGTCACACAAACATCCCCAGGGGCAGGGGCTGGGGGCAGAAACGTGGTCCTGGGTCCACCCGCCAAACTCCCACCTTCCCGTGGGTGGCCACGGGGGGTTGTGCACAGAGGGGGATTTTGGTACTGGTGCAGGTGTCCTGAGCTGAAAATGAAAGCAGGGTCTGATGCCCCCTGGGTCGGTGTGCCTGATGCTGAGTTGCCATTTCTTCACACAGGATCATAAGGACGAAGGTGCAGCAGCCACCCAATCAGCAGGTCCCAGCCTCCAGCCACAGCATAGGGGAGGAAAACTTTTTTTAAAAAAATATTAACTTAAAAAAAAAAAAGGTAGAAAAAAAAAGCAGCATAATGGATTACAAATATTCTAAAGAACTTTTAATTATTCTTATGGACAGATAATTCTGCATAAAACACTTCAGCACACGTGCTAATGCGCCTTCTTTGTCATTCTCCAAGGGCTGAACATAGTAAATGAATTTTATAAATACTGCTAAAAGGTTTTGAATTTTACTGATTATTATGATAAATAGCTTTCACCATGAGACAGAAAATTGAAATCTAAACCAAAAAACCCCCACTAATGGGGGTCTATAGAATGTCAGATAATTAAAGTAATAAATCAAGAAAGAGGTACTTATTCATAACATTTTCTGCATCATTAGTCAGTAAGTAGTTTTGAATGTGTTTTTTTCATCTATCAACCATCCCTTCCATAATTCTTTGTGCACTTGCAGTCTTGAGTGAAGAGGCAGCAAAACTTTTCCAAAACTTTAATTCAGCTGCTGCCCAGTGATGCTGCCCCTGAGGCAGGCAGAGCTGGCAGGGCGGTCTCTGGAGGGTCCCTGGAGGGGTCCTTGGAGGGTCCTTGGAGGGTCCTTGG